GGCCAGGCGTTACTCCCTAGCTCCCACAGGTGCAGCAGTTAATTCCATCTTTATCCCAGAAATGCCAGTTTCTCAAGAACAAATCAGTGGGCTACAGCCATCTGTGAGTGCTAGCGCTAAGCCCACCATGGTCCCTGGCATTTGAGTGGGTCTCGACAGGTCAGGTGAATACAGGCACACATGGCTAATGCAAATTGGTTCTTAGGATTGACATGCCCTTCCATGGACCTTGAAAGGCACCAACTTCAATGGGGCTTCAATTAGAAAGCCTATGATGGCATTCCCTTTGTCTCTTTTCTCACCGTTTCATGCTGCATTCAATTCTGTTCCACATCTGCTATGATTTGCCTAGAATCATTTAGTCAGCAAGTAATTACTTATAGTCCTTGGGGAACCACAGTCAATGCGTGGGATGAGCTCCAGCCCCAGAAGTCTGCCCTCCAAAGGGGAGTTGTCAGGGCCACCAAAGGGTAAATACACAAAAGAAGTAATGATGTGCACAACTCTAAGCTGAGCCTCAAAGGATAGAGACAGGTTCCCCTTCTCCCAGGACACATCCAGGGCAGACGGATGTGGCACCTTTGAGGAAGAGCAGAAAGGGCCAGTGATTGAGTCAAGGAAGCTAGTGGTGGTAAGGGAAGAGATGTGATATCAGGCAGGGCCATAAGAATGAGGTTTGGAGTCACATTCTAAGGCAAGGGAAAGCCACAGAGATGATTTATTTATTTATTTATTTTTGGTACCAGGGATCGAATTCAGGATCTTGCACTTGCAAGGCAGGCATGGTGCCACTGAGCTAAATCCCCAGCTCCACAGGAGTGTGTTAAGTATATGAAGGACATAATGCATATTTTATGAAGGTCATAGTGGGCTGTGGGAGCAGTGTGTTAGAATGCTGGATGCCACATCCTTAGCAAAGGCAGTCAACACAGCCACAGGCCTAGAAACATGGAAATACACTGTCTGCTACACACCCAGTTTCTGCAAGCGCTTGTTGACTGCAGAATCTGAATAGCTGCACTTGGAATTATTGGCCACTTTCACTGGGAAATATCCATACAAAGAATCAACAAAGGTGGGTGTGGGGGCACACACCTGTGATTCTGGCAGTTGGGAGGCTGAGGCAGGAGGTTTGCTGTGTGTTCCAGGCCAGACTGGGCTATACAGTGAGTCCAAGGCCAGCCCTGAAGTACACAGCAAGACCCTGTCTCAAAACACAAACAAACAAAACCCCAAAAAACAAATAACTACAAAAATGAACAAAGCATGTGTGACTCCTGCAAAAATGATGAGATGATCCTAACCCACTCCCCTCCTTCTCCTGAGCTCGGCCAGCCATGTCCAGATTTTTTTGGTTGTTTTATTCCCTGGGAGTTTTCCTCAGAGGCAGCTTGCTGAACTGAGCCTGTGTTTAAGCAGTGTACAGAGAGACTCTCCTATGTGTGTCCCTTATGACTCCCTGGTGCCGTGTCCAAGAGTCCCCTTTCCCTGTTGCACCGCAGTCCACTGCTGGGCTGTCCACTCCAACTACGTGTTCCAGAGGTAGCTGATATGAGGCTGTAACTATGTACCAGTTCCATTCATTGACATTCCTGGGTATGGAACTGCAGGTGACAAAGCCATACCTTCACATTCCTGCATGGCCTTATCCATGAGAGGACGATTCCTCTGCTTTGCATGTGCCAACACTTCAAGTTTGTTTTCTTGCTAACCTTTCCAGTCTGGCGAGGCCATCTCAGTTATTTCTAGAAGGCTCAAGATCAGCTATTATAATCAAGTTCTAGTAGCTCACAAGAGTCCAGAGAAAATGATATCCAGACCCTCTCTATACATTAGTGATTCAGTCCAATCCCAAGTCAGACAGGGAGCTAAGAGGGCAGGGCTCCACCCTGCTCAGTAGTTTACCACAAGGCTGTGAGAAACCAATTCCTTCACACTGTTTCGGCTTTGTTCCTTTTTCTTTTTTTCTGTTTTGTATTAGGGATTGAACCCAGGGCCTTCACACTGAACTACATTCCCAGCCCTTTTTTTATTTTTTGAGACAGGCTCTTGCTAAGTTGCCCAAGTTGGGTTTGAATTTGTGATCCGCCTGCCTTAGCCTCCCAGAGTGCCGGGATTACAGATGTGCGCCATCATGCCTGGCTACACTGTTCTGTTTTAATGAAAGATATTGGGGAGTTAGACATGGGGCCACATAACAGATTTTAAGAATGTTTCTGTAGCACACACAAACTCAAGGGAAGAAGCTTGAGAAAAAGGAGAATAGGTTTTGCCATGCAGAGTGGGTGAACACCTGGTAGCACTCAGCTGCTGCTGTTTGGGCAAACTCCCTTAACTCATTCACTGTGGTGGTGACTCTTTGTGCTCTGGCTCTCCAGCCCTCACACACTGCCTTGCTTATTATCCTTCCTCTTGGAAACAAGGTGGTGCCCTATGTAACAATCTGCTTCAATTCCACTTCTTCGGCTCCTGAAACAACTACAATGAACTCCCTTGGTGCCCAAAGATGTCAGCAAAAGGAGGGAATGAATGCTGAAAGTATTTTATTTCCATTTTGCAAAACATCAGTTATAACTGCTTTACTCCACTAATATAAAAGAAGTCATAAGAAGAGCATTTGTTCTTTAGTGGAGAAATGCTAGAAGTTTCCTTTGGTCACAGTGGAGTGCTATTTTTACTAGAAAGGAAGTATCTAGAAGTTCTCCACATATAAAAGGCCCCAGAAAGTACTACAGAGAATTCACATAGATTAATCACTGTCACTGTTTAGGACAAAGTAGAGGCAGGCAAATGTTCAATTCATACTTTCTGGAAGGTATGGTGATGATGAGATCACAATGTTTGTATTTTAGAGAAGTCAAGCTTGTTATCTCCTTTCTCCCTCTCTGTCCCCATCTCATCTCTTTTTGTCCCCATCTTTCTCTGCTCTTTGTTCTGAGGCCATGTATGATTGGGTTTTCTGAGGAAAGCAAGGAATGCTGCTGCAAGTGCAGGGACCATCCTAAATGGACAAATAGGTGTCAACATGCAGGCCAGTGGTGGGACGGCTTGAGGGTTCACTTGGCCAGAGCCCAGCGAGGGATGTGGACAAGTCCAAGAGGGGCTACAGTATGCTCCAGGCCTGCCTCCATGATGGAGAATCTCGTATATTTGGTACAAGGAATAATGGCACCCAAGTCACCTGGATAGATGGAGGAGCGTGGGAAGAAGTTGGGCTGGCCTTTGGTAGGGGCAGCTCAGGGCTCACTGGGCTGCCCAGGCCTCTGTTTCTGCCTGCTTTTCTCACTCTTGCTCTAGCTGGGTCTTATGGCCTATGAGGCCATTTCTGGTGAGTCCTTGAAGCTGTAGGGAAGAACAAAGCCACTTGGGCAAGCACCTGGGCAGCAGCATGGAGAACCTTTACCTTCATCCCTGCTGTTATGGCTTGTATTTAGATGTCCCCCGCAAAGCCTCATGCAACTATAGGTGGGGCTTTTTGGAGGTGGCTGGATCTAGGATGTGTGATGCTAGGATCAGGGATGTGATGTTGGGATAGACTTATGGTGTGATGCTAGGATTAATGGTGTGATGCTAGGATTAAAGGTGTAAGGGCAGATAGCCTGGACAAAAATATAAAAGACAGAAAGAGGGATGCTGTTGCTGATCACTTGCCACCTGCTGGTTATTGCTTTTGCTGCCTTCTGCCTTCCATGAACTGTTTCTCCTCTGTGATGCCCCTCTGCTAAGCAAGCCATCCTGCCTTGGAGCCAACTGATTATGGACTGAAACCTCTACAAACTGTGAGCCAAAATAAACCTTTTACTCCTTTAACTTTGGGTGTCAGGTATTTTGTCTCAGCAATGAAAAAAGTAACTAAGACACCTCCCATTTGGGTTTCCAGCCCAACTGAGACCTGTACCTCTACCAGTGCTGGATTTTCTATCAAATAGCAGGGTCTTATTATTCAGGCTGACACATTCTGGGCAGGTAACCCTGGTTTTCCTTTTCTTTCTTTTTTTTTTTTGGGACCGGGGATCGAACTCGGGACCTTGTGCTTGCGAGGCAGGCGCCAGAACCACTGAGCTAAATCCCCAGCCCCTGGTTTTCCTTTTCAAAGAGCCAATGAAATCAAGTCATTGGCACTCCTTAAAGAACACTACAAAAGTAAATGAGCTGAACATGGTGGCACACCTGTAATCTTAGTAATGGGGAGGCTGAGGAAGGAGGCTCGCCATGAGTTCAAAGGTAGTCAGCCTGAACTACACAGTGAGACCCTGCCAAAAAAAAAAGGTAAATGAGAGAGTGATATTAACTCCTATCTAAAAGAGTACATACCCGTATTGGTGAAGGCAACCCACAACCTACCCCTTCTTCCCTGGTGTCAAGACTCCAGAAAAGGGAGAAGAGGCAAGGAAGAAGAAAACCAGATGGAGGAAATGGGGGTGGGGTACAGAGGCCACAGGGAGACCTGAAACCAGACGTTTCTCTTTGGAAGGAAAGGAAACCAGGCACACCAAAGAGACACTTGAATGAGGACCTATCCTTGCCCTGCCCTCTTCCCACACATGCAAGTTCCAGGCTATCCTGAATTCAACAAGCAAACCTCTACTTCCTCCAAAAGCAAAGCTGTGAACAAGAAAACTCTTGACAACAAGAATATGGACTAAGTCAAATAGCACTCTGCTTCTAGATAAGATTTAGGAAATACTGTGTTTGGGCTTTGAACTAACTAAGCACTTGTAAGAGTTAGAGGTGGATTTAGTACAATTTAATACAAGGTTACTGCTGGGTCTGTCTGGGGCTCAGGGAGTTAGGTGTGGGTGCTGTGAGGGGAAGTGGCCTGAAACCTAGTGGTTCCTGAGATAGCACGTTGGACCTCATTTCCTTCTGCGTTCCCCACAGTTTTCAGGTCCAAAGGCCATAAGGGCTCACAGAAGGCTCAATAAGAAGCAGCTCAGTACCCATTCCGAAGAGCTCTGGCTCAGAGTAGGCCTTCCTGAATACTTCTTTTCCATCTGCAGGCTTTGTGCTGGTTATTGGTCTGGTGACATTCTACAGAATCGGCCCCTATACCAACCTGTCCTGGTCCTGCTACCTGAACATTGGTGCCTGCCTCCTGGCCACCCTGGCAGCTGCCATGCTCATCTGGAACATTCTTCACCGAAGGGAAGACTGCATGGCACCCCGGGTGATTGTCATCAGCCGTTCCCTCACAGCTCGGCTCCGCCGGGGGCTGGACAATGACTATGTGGAGTCTCCGTGCTGAGTTACCCTTCTCAGGACGTCACTGGTGAATATCCACTCTAATGGAATAGTCTAGAAACCAACAGGCTTTCCTAGGCCCTGCTTATGCAAAGGCATGGGATAAGTCTGGGTTACCTATACACAACATGTACGATACTCATGTACATTTAATATGTTATATAAGAATATATCATATGTTTACGTATTATGTGCATCACTCTACTCCTGACAGCATCTTCCTTGGCTGGCGCAATGTGGCTTCACATCATGCACGTTTCCAGGGTGGAGATGAGAGCCTGAGATGGGCAGGAGGTGGTGTGGGTGCCCTGCTCTCTACCTTTGTTTGGGATTAATTTATTCTGCATCTGCTAAGAGGGTGTTCTTGGTTACATTTTACTTTTATAAAGCAGAACACTAAGGAAGCTTTTCATGAAGTGTCCATGACATTCCTTGAGTGAATCAGAATTTATAACCAGGCAGCAATGGTTTTATGCCAGAATTAGGTTAGTAGTGTATGTTGTGTTCCTGATCATTTTTCTAAATTAAAATAAATGCAAACTTCTTAACTCTAAATCCAGTGTTTTATCCATTTATACTAACACATGGGGGAAAAGGATTTGATCAGTTTTCCTACGATTTTTGCAGGCTGATGTTAAGGGAAGGGTTAAAAGGACCCTGTGGGTGCACACACTCTTTTTTTTTTGGTACTGGGGATTGAACTTGGGACCTCACGCTTGCAAGGCAGGCGCCAGAACCACTGAGCTAAATCTCTGGCCCCTGCACACACTGTTTTTATCCATGGTTCCAGGCAACTGAATCTCAGAAGTCCATATTCCCATGGACTCTGAAAACTATGGCCCTGGGATGGTAGATCAACAAGTGGAGTAGGAGGGAAGAAGTCTGCTAGCTTTTCCCCAAGGAAAAATTCAGCGTCTTTAGTGGAGTGTTTGAGGGGCTGCAAAATGCCCCCAGAGGCCACACTGCTTCCAGATAGGTGCATTTTCGTAGCCTGCAAACTCCTTGGATTGGGTGGAAACCATCTAAGATCTGTACCCCAGGGGTCAAAGCTGGCCCATAGAAGCCTAAACTTCATATCTGCAACTGTTACCAGGGTCTGGTGCCTGGCTGGACATCTGCTCTGATCCAGCCACCATGAGGTGGGGAGCACAGAAGGAATCTGCCAGAAGAGGAAACCAGCACTGGAACCAATACGAGAAACAGGAAATAATTCCTCTGGACATTTGGCCACCATTCCTCCTAATAAAAGTCTAGCTCTGTTGCTTGTAACCTTCTAGCAAACTGAAGGTGATCAGCTTGACTTTTGGAACCCATGTTGTGCTAGGAATTTGTCTTTAGTCAGAACAAACAGTGAAATGGATCACATTGATAATGACTAAAAAGCACTATGGACTGACCATATATGACACAGCACACAATACAGAAATATCCACAATGCAGCACACTGGTGCAAGCAGGTAGCTCTTATCTTCTTTCCACTTGATTTTTTTCCTACAAAGGATTTTTATTTCCAATCACATGTTAAAAGTAATTGTCAGTATTATGCAGAGAGCTACATAACAGTACACTAATGTTTTAAAATTGGCCATATAGTCAGTTTTGGCTCTGTGATAATTTCATAGTAAATAAGGATGACCCAAAAGACACTGGGCTTCACCATGCAGCCTCTCTGGGTCACCTCTTGGTCTACATGGCTAGTACGGAAAAAGGCCCTTCCAATTGCACTAAAGGCCTGGCCCTACCAGTTTAGAAAGACAGTGGATGAGGAACCCACATTACATTAGTGTTGTGAAAGGTACCTTCTGCATTATAAAATAATTATTGCAGATGATGGTTTCTCTAAGCACTTGAATTTCTCACCTTTCTTTTCCCACAGTGTCACTGCTGCATAATTTTCCTACCCTTTTAAAGCTAAAATCTATCAACTGATCTTGTGACGAATTTCTGAGTTTGCTCAGGAATGCAGGAAGATCCTTGTTGATGGCCCTTGACTGACATTTTTTTCCCTGCTTCGGTCCAGGGGATTGAACTCAGGACCTTGTGCTTGCGAGGCAGGCGTGGTACCACTGAGCTAAATCCCCGGCCTTGACATTTTTTTGTGTGTGTGTGGTACTAGAGATCGTACCCAAAGCCTTGTACATGGTAAGCAAGCACTCTACCACTGAGCTACATCCCAGCCTGCCAGATATGATCTTTTACAGCAATTTAATTGCATTTTTCCCCTTGCTATTTTTATTTATGAAAACCTTTTAACAATATTTAGTAAACATGAACTTTTAACTAGGAATTATTCTGAACACTTTAAAAAAATTTTGAAACTCAGGACCTTGTGCTTGTGAGGCAGTTGTGGTGCCACTGAGCTAAATCCCTGACCCTATCCTGAAAACTTTTTTTTTTTTGGTACCGGGGATCGAACTCTGGTCCTTGTGCTTGTGCAGCAGGCGGCGAAACCACTGAGCTAAATCCCCGGCCCTGAAAACTTTTAAATAAAAACAAATCATATCCTGTAGGCTCCCCGTACCAGATGCCAAGAGCCAAGTTCACCTGCTTCACCAAATGCACCTTCTGTACAGCAGTGTACGAGGCAGGTCCTGGCATTCTTGAGCTCTGCAGCATTTCATGGAGTGAAAAGACCATTAAGTACACCATGATACAATCACAAAAGCATTAATGATTTTGAAATCTAAGTGAGAAGGAAGACACAGAAAAAGTAAAGACTCTAAAAGGGATACACATCACCTTTAGATACCTCAATGAATAGAATCCTTACCTCTTGATGAGTTTAATAGATTTGAAAGCTTCATCCATGTCTCCCACAGTGATGAAGAAGCTGAAGTTGAGCATGGCATCCTGAGTGGGCTTGTCACAGTCCTCCAGCCCCACAAAGTCTCGTAAAGGTCTCCTGGCCACCATCTGGGGGATGCAGTAGTGCTCAGAATGCACCCTGTCTTCTCCATCTGCTTCTCCAGGCTGAAGGACAAAGGTTCCATTTGTTTGTCAGGTCACGTGTCAAGGTAACAGACGTGCCTAAGTCCCTTTCCCTAGATACATGTCAGTCCTGGGGAAAATTGATTTGCAGACACAGGTATTCAGCCAAGTGATCCGTTTAGGGTCCTGGACAACCATTAGGGTCCCTGGAAGTTATCAAAGCTTTGGGCCTTAGTTTCAGGTAACAGTAAACAAAGACTGTCCAGGTGTAAACTTGTTTTTCAACTTCTAACTCCCTAACATCAGATTCTCAAGAGTTAGAAATGGCTGTTAACGGTTTCCATCTCTGGAGTGTGTTTTGATTTATTTATTTATTTAGGGGTTGGTTTTTTTTTGGGGGGACAGGTCTCACTATGTAGTTCAGGCTGGTCTTGAACTTATTATGTAGCCCAGGCTTGTTTCAAACTCAACACAATCCTCCTGTCTCAGCTCCTGAGTGCTGAGATTATAGGTGCGTGCCATCGCACCCATACCAGTTGGAGTGTCTCATTAACCATAAAGATTTTTTACCAGCTTGAAATAATCAAGTCAGATATGTGTACATCTCTGTGAGGTCTCTTAAAATTAAAGAACAATGGCTTCACTTCAGGAAGAATTTTCTAAAATCATAACCTGGATGAATTTTGTACCATTTCCTCGTGTTTCTCAGAAGAGTTGTCAACTAGTACAGTACCCCCCAAACAGGCACCCTAAGAGAGAGAAACACTCCTGCAGGTCATGATAAATATAGCATGCTGGGGCTGCCTGCTGGAGCAATCTGACATGGTTACATGGAGCAAGCACTGGGGACCAAGAGCTGTTAGACTCTCTATCATCCTCAAAAATGTGTGGGTACTGGAAACCTGGAACCAATAAGGAATTTGGAATGTACACAAATAATCAGAATAAGGGGAGATTTTGTTTTAGACAGAGTTCTGCTGTGCACTCCAGACAGGCTTTGAACACTGACTGGAGCCCAGGTTGGCATCAAACTCATGATCTTCCTGGCCCGGGGATTTAGCTCAGTGGTTTCGCCGCCTGATGTGCAAGTGCAAGGACCTGAGTTTGATCCCTGGTACCCCCCGAAAAAAAACCAACCAAACAAAAAAAACCACCAAACCAAACCAAAACAAAAAACAAACTCATGATCTTCCTACAACAGCCTCTCAAGTACTGAGATTATTGTGATGTGTGTCACTTCACAGGTTAAACTAATACTACTCCCCACGTTGCAAACAAGGGTCAACACACATCAGGTGAGATGGCTGTACACATCACAGGTCCAGACCAGGCCCACAGCCCATGGACTCTAACCCAGCTTGGATCGGCAACATGGGATCCCACTCAGACAAAGAGCGGGCTCTGAGCCAGATGTAATGATGCATGCCTATAATCCTAGCACTCTGGAAGGCTGAGGCAGGAGGCTGGCAAGTTTGAGCCTAGCCTAGATAATCTGGCAACTTGGCACAACTCTGTCTCAAAATAAAAAAAAAAAATGATGTAGTGCAGTATAAAAACTTTGATCTATTTCCCAATAATCCATCCCCCCAAAAGGTGGCACTGGTGTCTCTCCCAACCCAGCAAGCTCCTCACATAGGTAACCAGGCTAAACACAAAATGTTGGGGCATAGACACTTACACAAGATAGGCAAGACGTATCAGATGTACAAACAGGTACATATGCTAGGGGGCAAGTGTTGGTGCACATAAGGGGACACAAGCTGGGGGGGGGAGTGTCAGTGCACACACAACACTGCTTAAAATGAAGAAGAAAAAGGACTTAGGGAAATGACGAAGCCAAGGTGACAAATTATAACTGAGGCTCTCTACTTACAATTGTGTCATACATGCCTCCTCTCTGGAACAACAACTATGAGTGTGGTGCATGAGGGGAGGTGGGACAGAGACAAAGAAAATATGCATAAATGGATGGATTAAACAAAACTCAACAGAAAGAAACTAACTAGAAGTAACTCAATAGAGAGAATTTAAAATTAGAAATAAATAATTTAAATTCAATTAAAAATTATTTCCAACTTTTTGAGTTCTCAAACCATAGAGAAATTAATGAACATAAAGAATACAGAATAAGAATGAGATTCAGAAAAAGGCCAGTTTGATGGTAGTAATCTATTTAAATAAGGCAACTGCGTTAGCAGAGAGGAGGCTCTCTGAACTTGGGAAATCACACTAACACTTTCCCTACCTTTACTAAGACCGACTCCATTTTTTTTTTTTTGGTACCGGGGATCGATCTCAGAACCTTTCGATTGCGAGGCAGACGCCGGAACCACTGAGCTAAATCCCTGGCCCTAGACCAACTCCATTTTAATGCACATAAAAGTCAGGCACAGCTGCATATGCCTACAGTCCCATCTTCTAAGGAGGTTGCGGTGAGAGGATCAGTTGAGTTGAGGAGTCTAAGACCAACTTGGGCAACATAGCATCATTACATCTCAAAAAAAAAAAAAGTTAATTCACGTAAAAGTGTAACATACAAAGTGTTTGCATGCCAGCCAACCTGTAGTGGTCGGTCATGCAATATTGCTTTACATATCGACCTAGAACAATGAAACCAACTACACTCA